TTAGCCAGAGAAACGCCGTCAGAGATACAGATTTTGAGCTGCGGGGATATTACACGTTTCAAAGAATTGCGAGTGATGTAAAGAAATAGTGTGATGCAGGAGAGAAGCAACAAAACCACTAAGAGCAATGAGACCGAAGATAGGAAGATAGGATGTTTGAGAAGATGATAAGATGGAGTCGGAAAAGTCTGATTCAAATAATATAACAGATGATTTAAGTCGGAAGGTAAATATGGAACTTTGGGCCAGGCGAGAGTATTGTTCAGTGCAGAATGCATGTTCAAAACTTCAGCGTCAGACGAGAAAAAGGTGCCGTTGTGAAAAATACTAAACGGTTGAGGACTAAGGGATGTTGGACGACCCGTAAGGGTGAATCCCGGACAAACGATCGAGGAGTCGAGAGTTACATTAACCAGCGCGACTGCTGGCAAAATCAAAGGTTGATTTTGACGCCATACTTCATGACTACTTGAGGGAGCTAATACTGTGTGTACTTTAACACAATGCAGGGTGTCCACAGTAGATACGACCCAGAGTGAACCGCGCAGCTGTTGAACAAAGAATGGAGCGCTTGGAACCTTTTCGGTAAAACAGTTGTCTAGAGGTCGGTTATAGAGAATCTGTGTGTACAATCTGAGACCGATGATTATCATAAAGTGTTTGAAGATGGTCCTGAATGGACCTTTCGGAGGTGGATAAATTAGAGAATGCAGTCATAATAAAAATCAATGTGACTTACCAGACAATCAATATGAAGACAGATAGAAAGAAAAAAAACAGAAGAAGAGTTTTGCAGGAGAACGGAAGGTTCGGCAAGACGAGATCGCCAAGTGTGAGAGACTTATATTTCCTTCACTTATAAGTCCTTGAGAGGTTATTGTACGTGTGCTTTATAATACGTAGTGATGTATATTATACTTTTATTACGACCACTCTTTAAAAAAAATTACAACCTACTAAAACTAAAAAAAACTATTCGGTTCCATATATCTTCTACTTCATGCCAAAAGATAAGAACGAAACAAAAAAGAAAGAGAGAAAGAAAAAGAACAGGAACAACAAGACAACAAAATTACCAACAAAGACAGGACAGAACAAAACAAACTAACATACATGTATACGAAGATAATTTGTACATAGTGGAAAGAGAGGTTGTGACAAATAATTGTCACACTGGGGTCAAGCCAATTCAGGTCTTTTTAATTTTATTTTTGGAGGCCAAGTCAAGTCATTTTTTGAAAGACCGGTTTTTTTCCTTACACATTTTGATTGCTTTGAACTTAAATCAACCTTGTTCTGTGGAAGAAATAGTCGTGCACGATTGTAACAAAAAAAGCAAATCTGGAGAAGAAAAATCGAAAACTGACTTGACTTGAGTTTTAAAATTGGCCAAGTCAAGTAAAGTCATTTTTCGAAGTCGTCAACTCAAATCATTCGTCGTTGTTTCCGGAGGCCAAGTCAAAAATGACTTGACTTGACTGGACCATCTCTAGTTTTGAGACTTTTCGTCAGAAAAAAAAATTGCGATGATACAGAGTTTCTCAAGAATCAACACAATCACGTTTTCTTGATCTATTTCTAAATTAATGTGTGTTTTTTACGATTTTCTAGAGAATGAAACAACAACAGCTGCAAGTACAACTGAAAATATTGGTCTTCGTGACAGTGAGGTGGTGTCGACTTCTATAACTGCGAGAACAACAGCTTATCAGCTTTTAAATGAAAGTAAGTGAGACTCATTTTTCTTTTGATCAGGTTATTATAAACCAATATTAATTGGTTTCTCTCGTACTTTTTTAGTTGACAAGATTATAACACCTCTCGAAAATATCGTTCAAAATGGAAATTTGAACGAAGATAAGAGTGATGCAACAGTCAAGAGTGATCAACCAGTAGACGTTATTTCACCTCAGCAAACTGCTGATTCAGCGTGTGAGTTTGAACATAATTACTTGATTATTTTTGCCAAAAAAATCTTTTTAGCTCAATCTAGTTAATTTTTTTTAAGTAAATAACTGCTTAAAAACTTTGAATGTTAGAAGTTATCGAAGTAAGAGAAAATCGTTGAAGCTCGAAACAAGCATCTTCGGCTTCAGTCCTAAAAAGAACGTTCTTCTAAATTTTTAGAAAAAAACGCCTTTAATTTAAGTAAAATAACTTTTCTTAGTTTCTTTCATATGCTCTTTAATTTGGACAGATCAAGAACACTTTTCCGCAAAAAGTTTCTCTTAAAAAAAGTTTCAAAGCGATTCTGATACATTGTGCTCGAGCTAAGTTTCTCTATTCTATAGCAAATACAAAGAAAAATATCACTGTCGGGCCGACAGCACGGCAATTGCTCCTCCAAAATAAAAATTTCGTATAGCTAAAAATTTTAGAATCGTAGGAGCTTCGGCAAAAAATGTTATTGCCTCAACCAAAACTTTTTACATAGCGACCTAAACAGAGATTAGAGAAAAAAATGATGAGTTTTTGTGAATCATCTCTGAGTCAGCAGATCCACTCCTCAGTCAAAGGCCGAATCCAGGGTACCCGTGTTGGATCCCATCCCCGCAAAGAGGCAGAATCCAGGATCAGCATGAACATTTTGTCAAAAACATTACATCGAGCCACCAATATCCATTACACTACTCAATATTCTGATCAGTGATCAAATAGAAATTAGAGTGGTGAACAATAAGCGTATATAAATCACTTATAACCATGTGCTAACTTTGGTTCTCCAGACAAGAGAAATTCAAAGTTAAAACGTTTCCAAATTCAAAGAATAGAACAGTGGACAAATGATTTTAAAATTGGTGTTTTTAATGATGTTTAATGTGAACTGATTTCCAAAAGCGGTCTTAAATCATTCACATGTAATCGATATTCTAGATGAGTTTCGGGATCTTGTAGAACATAAGTTGTGTGTTGAGTTTTTGTGATGATTTTTGGTGTCGACGAAAACCTGTTATCTAATTTTGAACGATTTCTTTGTATTCTGATAAGAACTCTATCTCCAGTATTATAATGCGGATCTGGTCTATTCTGTCGTAGCGATCTTTCATTCGATTTTGTTGTTAATAATGTTTTGATGTGAATTTTGATGAATAATTTTGATACTCTTTTCTAATTGTTGAAAGTAGGTACTAATTTCGATAATGGTTTATCTGTTGGGAGTCGGGGTTTACGGCCAAATTGAAGTTCAAATGGAGAATAATTGGTTGTATGATGTTTACCAGTATTATACGAAAAAACTACGGCGTGGAAGAATTCATCCCAATTATTTTTCTGGCGATCTTGAAGTTTTGCCAGTTGTGGTACAAATGTGGCGTTAAAACGTTCTACACCACCGTTACTTTGTGGATGGTATACAGAAGAGAAAATGTGATTAATTTCAATTTTAGGTTCTAAAGTTTGCAGAAGCTCATTACGAAAATGCGAGCCTTGGTCACTTAATATTGTAATTGGCACACCGTAACGACACATATAATCCTTGAAAATAGCTTCGGCAGTGGCTTGAGCAGAAGGATTTGGTAACGCTATGGCGGTAACCCAACGAGTGAAATAATCGGTTATTGATAAAACGTAACGGTTGTCGTTTGGAGTACGATCAAAAGGTCCTGTAAAGTCGATACCGATAAGTTGAAACGGTCCAGATGGCGGTGGAATTGGATGTAATTTGCCAGGCTTTTTCTGACGAGAAATATTAAATTGTTGACACTGAATGCAAGGCTTCACGTAATCTTCAACGATGGATTTCATCCTGGGAAACCAATGTGAGTTCTTCAATTTCTGGTAAGTGCGTTCAATAGCAAAATGTGCTCCATCAAGTGGGTCATCATGAAAAGATTCAAGAAGTGATAGAATCATAGAAGATGGGGCGTAGGGAAGTTTAAATTTTGTACGATTTTTTCTTGATATTATCCTATATAAAACACCATCTTTTAAAGTAAAATACTGATGATTTGGATTCTGTTGAACTTCTTTACTTTTCGACAAAATTTCTGTATCGCTCTCTTGCTCTGCTTTTAGTTTCTGACGTCAAAGAAATTTCTTGTAAATGGAGGTGACTTCTGATCTTTGTCAGATGCATCGATGTCAGAAGACGAATTTTGACCATCAGTGGTAATCGCCGGAGGAGGCTGCTGTTGTCTTGTTTGAGCTCTAGTTTGTACTGCAGTCACCAACCCCGTTTGAGGTAATGAGCCAGAAATATTTTGAGAATCCAAAGAATTTGAAGTTTGATTTTCAGC